AGGAAGGAAGGAAGATTTCTGATGCTCCCTGCCACCTTCCCACAAGCAAAGTCAATGGGGAAGCTGGCAGCAAGTCGCTCACACTCCCACTGCTTTTTTTGCCCTTGGTCATTCTGTTTCTCTGTTTAGGTAAGGAAATGTCTCTGAAATGATGATGGGTCACAGATTGCCTAGTCATTTAATAAACGTTAGAATGATTGCTCCAGTGACTGATCTTAAGGATAATTGTATATTAGCAAAAGTTATGTTATCATACAAGAAGAGGATCTATACTAACAACAATGCTTTCAGTCTTCAACTTCCATCTTGGGACTGATTCTGAACTAAAGCATGTCACCAAATTTTGGGGCTTGCTTGCATCTCATGCCCATTATAATATCTTGCCTGATGAAGAGCTCTGGAGAATTCAAAAATTTGCATTCTTTTGTGGCGTTTTGGTCAGTAAAAGTAGTACCAATTACAAGACTCACACTCCTATTGTCTTATCCAAACCTTAGACTGATGCAAACAGAAACTAAGGCAATTACAGTTCCAAGAGCTGTTATTAGCATGGTGTAAATCTTCCACCAGTAGCCAAGATAAAGAGTTAAGAGCTGGTAATTTAAACAAAAATTTGGAGAGTTATTGAGACCCAGTTTGGTCTAGTGGTTAAGGAGACTGTGAGTTCTAGTCCCGCCTTAGGCATGAAAGCTGGCTGGGTGACTTTGGGCCAGTCACTCTCTCTCAGCCCTTATGTCAGGCTTGGACAACACGCCCGATAGTCAATTCCTGTTGCGACCAATGGATCAACATTCGGTTGGTCCAAAAAAAAAGCAGACCTTGGACATGCAGGAAAAATGCTAGTATGGGGGGTGGGGGGTGGGATGACTCAGAGAGTTAATTGTGCTGGTGCTTCAAGCTTAAAGAGTTCAGAGGCAGGATTGTCCAGGATAGTCACTAGGTCAGATACCAGAGAATTCCATAGAAGCTGATCCAAAACTCAAGCTGAAAGTCATTGCACAGGGCAAGGAGCCAGAAGAAACTTACAACACAACATTGCAAGGACACAAGTCAAGATGCAGAAAAGTTGTTTCCGACCTGGGGAATGTTTCTGGATCATGCTGTTATATAGCCAGAGTTCCTGGTGGTCCCTAATGAGAGGAGTTAATACTGCTTCCTCTCAGGCTCAGACTCTGAATCAACAGCCACTTGCATTCAGTCATCCTCATCACTTGCAGGTAGCTGACAGCCTGTTGCCTCCTGAACCGTAGGTGGAAAGTCTCAGAATCAGAGGAGTCCATAACATCTATTGATATTAGCCTTCTTCTGAGATAGAGATAACAATAGCGATATAAGATAGAGACAGACAGACAGACAGACACCCATCATGATTACATACCAAGACTATTGGTAGTCTTACTTTACATAAATTTTTCCACATTGTGAGATAATCATGGGAGATAGTTCATAGTACAACAATGGGATAAATGCAACTGTATAGGATAATGATTTCTAGTTTTATATTCTTTCATTGCCATTTTTTTTCATTATTCTTCAACCAGCCAATGTAGGGATAGATTCTTGCACATACAGATAGTGCATTGCTTCTTCATTAATTTTCCATTAGTTGAAGTACTAGAAATAGCTGTTATCATAATATTTTTAGAATGCCATCATTCAATTATATTTGATGTATCCTGCATCTCTCATGTGTTTTCGACTGTTCATTTCCTTAGATGAAGCTGAAACTATGGGCAAGGGAGTAAACTCTGTATCCTAAGTCTTGACTGGTCATTGTATCAGTTTCTGGGATAGTTCCCTATTTTTATGTTTTATTGATTGATTGATTGATTGATTGATTGTGTTTATATAGCTGCCCATCTCACACAAAGCGACTCTGGGTGGCATACAATAATTTTTTTCCTGTGTTTCCCCTTATTTCTGCTTTATTATGTTATTGCAGTTTCTATTAATGGGTTTATTTATCTTGAATTCTCCTTGCAAGTAATTTGATGTAAGTATCTATAGTTTCCGAACATCTCCTGATGTGCCGGGATGTGTGTGATTCAAAAACAGCAAGATGGTGGACAGAGGAATGTGATGGAAGCTCCGTCTCTTTTGTATGAGTGTCTCACACACACTCAAAAGGGGAGGGTACTTTCATCGCAGCGCTCCATCTGCCATCTTTCCCATTTTGACCCTCTTCCTTGTGACCACCCAGAAACATTAACTGTCCAGTTCTGGGAGTCCTGCAGTTTGCCCATATTACACCACTGCTATGTGAGCTGCATTGGCTCCCAGTTTCTTTCTGGGTGCAAGTCAAGGTGCTGGTTGTCATCTTTAAAGCCCTATATGGCCCAGGGCCAAGTTAACATATCTGTGGGACTGCCTCTCCCCGAGGACATCAACCTGTCCCACTAGGTTGGATAAGGTGGCTTGCTCCAAGTCCCTTTCCTTAAATGTTGTCATCTGGTGGAACCTAGGAAGCACCTACCTTGTGGAACAGCTTCCCCCTTGAGGTGTAGAGGGTCCCAACTCTCCTTGCCTTCTGGAAGGGTGCTAAGACCTACCTTTTTCCCCAGGAGAAAAGGCTGGGTCAGGAGAGAGGGGAGCGCAGCGTTTGTAATTTTGTGATGGGACTGTTATGGCACTACATGGTATGAGAGAGTTTTTAAATTTTTGAATTGTTACTTATCTGACATTAGCCACCCAGAATTATTTTATAGAATATAGACAGCCATACACATCTTTTAAATGAATGAATGAATGAATGAATGAATAAATAAATAAATAAATA